TGCCAAATGACCCCAAGGCTGGGGTAGGGGATAGGGGAGACTCTAGAGGGGATTGGCGAAATTGCCTTCAGTTGATAACCACTGCTCTAGATGTTTCTGGTACTGAGATTGGGTTATTTCATTGACTCCGCTTTGACCAAGAAGCATGAGTTTCAGATTTGAAAACAATACCCTTAATTGCTCCTCAAAAGGGCAAATATTCAGAACTTGGAAAGAAGAGCGGTTCAGAGGAAAGCATTCTAAAGTTTGCACCAGAGTTTACAATGTTTAGTTTGCCCTAGAATTAATACTTAAGTGGATAAGAGGAATCAGTAGTATTTTATTAGATTTGATTTCCATGATAATCTGCTCTGAAAGTAGTGGGTTTGAGATGCCTTGCCCAATCGTATGGTCTGCCGAGAGAGTGCCTTGAATTACAGAAATCTCGGGTGGGAAGGCTAGATGGATAGATGTGTGATAACACACAGTGTTCATTGCAGTATTTACGTGATGGAGTGTGAGTGGTAACCGGAACTTCTTCAGACTTTTTTGAATGTTTGAAAACTCTAGTAATAAAATGTTGGGGGAGGAAAGTCTCTGGAACTGCTTTCTTGGTGGTTTAGTTTCTCTACACTTTTGTTATTTCAGTTGAATGCAGTTCTGTTACTTTTCTAACATTATTATATATATAAGTAATACAATTGGTGGTCCAAAATCAAGGCTTGAATTTTGTGTCTTATTTAAAATGGTGGCTCTGCTGCTGAATTAAGTATGGGAACATTTTTTAGTAAAAACCACTATAGGGAAGTGTGATGCATTATTCTTTTTTTCCCACTTAGGAATATTTTTGAGAAATTTTCTGGCTTCTAAACTGGGGTGATTTCCTCAGTATTATAAAGTTAAAGTCTAGGCTTGCACCACCCTTTATTTGCAGAGTATTCTTCATTGGAAAGCCTTCTATCTTTTCACACCTTTCTTCTGTAGTCTAGACTAAGTTTTTTATAAAATGCATGCATTTAAATCATGATTGACATATTTCTTTGTTAGTTTTAGTGCTAGTTAGAGGAATATCTGGTGTGTGGGAAATGCTTACTAAGTGGACTATTGAAAGGTTAGGAGAAATGGAAGGTGGGGGAGAAATCCTTTTTCATCCTTTTCTTGTTAGAGAACTTTTATTGCCCCTGTTTGGGACTGAGGTTTTTTTTTCTCAATGATGTATGAGTTATTTGTAGGGTTAACATATTTCTGTTCCAAAATACTTTAGAAATATTCTAGGAAGATTTTTATATATGCAAGCTATTTAGAATCATGTGAGGACAGGGAGTACAGAATAGCTCCAGAGGCAAAGACAGGAGGCACTGGTGCCTCTAGGAGTTACTGCCATTTCAGGAAAATACAAGATTTCATTACCTGCTGTCTTTGTGGGCTTTCTCTTGTTATTTTTTCTGGAGATAAATAAAAGCTGAGTTTCTGTCTTCCTGACTAAGCTTCAGAGGACCACAAGTGGAGTGGACACTAGGGGTAGGATCACATTTTAAGTCTTGTAAAAATGAGGAATAGAGCTTTTAAATCCCTTACCTAATAAAAAGGCACATAGCAGAAAAGTTATAAACAAATTTGAAGGTTTTGGAATAGGAAGCATATGTAGGAGCCTGATATCTTTTGACTTTTTGGCCATGTGATCTACAAAGATGCTAAAAGAAAACTGTCTTTATTGAAAAGTAAAAGCTTATTTTTAACAGAATATTAAAGATTCTGTTTAATTTGCAAAATCAACATATTGACTAATGATTATTAAATTCCTCCTAATCTGATTTTTTTTTTAAAGCATGATTTCTGCACCAGAGTGAATGAAAACTGCTGTATTCAATGATTTTGGCCTATTACTTAGAAGAGGAAATATTTGTTTCTACTTTACAGCTAACACTACATTTTTGCATGTTGTATCATAGTGTTTATGTGTGAACATGCCATGAAGTCCGCACTTTTTTTCTCTCCAGCAAATTATGCTAACAATTTCTTACATAAGCTTAGATTTCCACAGTGAGCATTCTTCTGAGGGAATAAATAGAGTCAGCAGATGCTATCATATGTAATAGTCATTTCTAGATTGCTGGTAGAATGATGATACTTTACCAAGTGTTCTATAAGACATAAATTATTTTCTTGATGAAGGAAGAAACATGTATCCCTTGATCATAATCTTAAAATCCTAGTGATATTTCTGTGATATCATTGCCATTACTTTAATTAACTGTATATAGAAAACTTACGGGCAAGTTTACTCCAAGCTCTTTCAGGAACAGTGAGTCACTTTAGATGCTTTTGACAAAAATAGAAAATGTACAATGACAGGAAAGTTTTAGATTACCATACCTTTCTTGATTCAGCAGATGTCTTTGAGCTTGCTCCCTTTATTTAGAATATGAGGAGAGAATGGAATCCATGCAAATAAGGATCAGGAAGCCGTGTATCTTGTACAGATGGCTGGAAATGAATGGGGAAAAGAGTTTATAGACTTTGTAATAAGGCCACAGTTTAAACTTTTTTACTTGGAAATATTCAAACAGGGAACCATAGACATTGCAGAGTGTCTTGCCAATGGGTTTCAGCTCTGGGCAAGTTCACTATGGATTCAGTGAGACTGAGGAATGACAATGGAACCTTCTTGGGGTGAAAGGATTTATTTCCTGGCTTGTTCTCCGAGTGGTAAGTCAAGCACTGGAATTACATCTGCAACCAACAGTCTGCAGCTCTGTAATCCTCCTTGTCTCTGCCTCTGCCCAGAGTACTGGGAAGAGCTCTTTATATATTGACTCAGTCAATAATAGCTAATTGCCTGGGGTGTGGAAGCAGTAGCCTGGCAGAAGGCCAGTTACATCATCAAGTAGTTTAGGTTCAGGTGAGGATCGTGGCCATAGGAACCTTCACTTTGTCCACAGAGTAAAACTTGTAATACTTGCAGAGCAGAGATCAGCTAACTTCCTCTGTGAAAAAACAGATTTTAGGGCTTTTTGAGCAATATGCTGTCTGTTCCAACTACTCAACTTTGCAGTTGTAGTTTAAAAGAAGCCATAGCTGATATGTGAATAAATAAGTGTGGCTGTGTTCCAATAAAACTTTATTTATGGGCACTGAAATTTGAATTTCATGTAACTTACCTATATCATAAAATATTCTTTTAACTTTTCCCTCCAATGGTTTAAAAATGTAAAGACCATCCTTAGCTCATAGGCCACATAAAACAGATGGCAGGCTGTTGTTTGCTGACACCTAAATCTCAAGTTAGTGATACTGTTAACCTATAAAGGATATAACATAATGGTAGAGTAGAATTTATCTGTCCCGTGGCCTGATGTGCTTTGCTAAGCTCTCGTTAACATCAAGAGGAGTTAAAAATTAGCAAATTTGCTTTATCTTTGAGGCAAGATGATAAGTAGTAAAATGAGAGGATGTATAGTAAGACATAATGGAGTTAGATCACTAATATTCTTAGGAATTTGCTGAAAACACAAAAACACCACCGTTGAATTTAGCAGGCACAGTTCTTTGAACTCAGAAGTAGGAAGAATGCACTACTCAGTGAAAATGTCTTCTGGATTTAACTTGAGAGCACCTTGATGATTCTAAATCCAGTGGTTTAGTTTTGTGAGACATTCCTTACAATGGCTCCTGAGAATGTCCCCACTTATCAGTATGGAAGAAAATAAAATGAAAGAACCTTGAAAGAAATCAAGTATTTTTTATTGGCTTTTGCAACAGATCTCTTAGATCTATTCAGAGATAAGTTTAAGTGAGGAAAGTGTTGCTATTTAACCAACATTTTTAGGATTTACTGTTGGCAAGGTATTTGGAAATGTTGCAAAATACAAAATATTTTCAGATTTTTGATCCAGAAACGTAGACTGGGACTTCTGCCAAGCTTGTTCTTATGCAGCTTGTTAGGAATGCTTCTTCACTGCTTTGTTTGGTTTCATCCATCTTCTAAAGCAGGTGAAAAAAATTGACTAGCTTGGAAGTGAACACTTCCCCCAATCAAGGACATATTTAACATTGTAAAGAATAGAGAAATTTTGCTTGAACCAGATAAATCAAATTTGATGCAAATTTAGGTGAAAAACCTGCAACATCAGGAAGAGGCAGAATCAGTTGTTAGCAATAGCTCAGCTGGTTGGACAGAATTCTATGGGGCAAAAGTTTTATTTCAGTGATTTCAAATGGGGTTTTTATATTTTTACTTTTAACCTTTTTTGAAAATGAGTTTTTATATGTTTGATATCAAGGACAATTTAGACACCAAATTTAGAAAACATAGCTTTTGTTATACTGTTTTTTTTTTTTCTGCACGTGGATTTTTGTTTGCTGCTTTGTAAATGGGGTCAGAATTTGAGAGCTGTTAGATGTTGCCTTGCCAATGGGTTTCAGCCCCGGGCAAGTTCACTATGGATTCTGTGTGACCAAAGAAATTGACAGCAAAATGTTCTTTGGGGTGAAAGGGTTTATTACCCGGCTTGTTCTCCCAGCGGTAGGTCGGTAGGTCAGGCACTAGCATCTCTGCCTCCACCCAGAGCACTGGGCCGAGCTCTCTATATAGCACAATAATAGCTTATTGCCTAAAGGTGTGGAAGCAGTAGCCTAGCAACAGGCCAGTTACATTGTCAGGTGGTTTAAGTTCAGTGAGGATCCTGGCCATAGGAACCCCAACTTTCCCACAGATGTCTTAAGGGTGGATAACTTTATTTGAAACTTGACAGTTGACAGTATTTAAAAATAACATAAGTTGGCGAATTTGTAAATTAGTGTTGTTTGATATACCAAAGCAGGTTGAGATTACTTCCATGAGCCTTAATAAATAACTTCCTAGTGCTAAACTAACAGATTTATACTTCTTATGTACTGATTTTAATTTCTGAGTGAAATTAGGGAAACCTGAGATCTTTTGAGTTGAAAACCAGGAGTACGAACAGTACTTTGTTCTTGACTGGAGCTGATGTGTTCTTTTGTGTATATTCTTTTTTCAGTGAAACCAGCAGTGTGTGTAGCAGCAGTGACACAGGACTCTTTACCAACGATGAAGGACGACAAGGTAATCTTGATCCCAACTTTGGGATTTGGGTTCAGTGTTTCTGGGAAGGCTCTGTGATTATAGGAGTGACTCAGAGAATGTGATGGTCTATGGCAGTGCTTCTCAAACTTCAGGGCATGTAAGAGCTACCTGGGGAACTGTTAAAACTCCAGATTCCTGAGCTAGAAATTAAATAGGTCTGGAGCTGACCCCTGGAATCTGCATTTTTCACAAGCAGTGATTTTAATGTGGTAAGCTTAGATATTGAGAAGTGTAGGTCCAGGGGGTTATCATCTCAAAGTAAGGACTTTGTAAAGTTGCTTTTTGTTAGAGCCAAAAAATACCAACTTGTATTACTCTTTTTTGGATGTTAAGACACTTTTATTTTCACATAGGGAAAATCTGTTCTTACAACCTTATTTATAAATGATCATGTTTATAAATAATGGGTGAATATACTACAGAAAACATCTTTTGTCTAAAGTTAAGACTCCTAAAGTTCAGTATAGATCACTGTGAATAAGCTGGTATATGTGAATTATCAGTTTTTTATTTGCCACACCAACTGTTCACCAGTAAGAATTTCATGTAGCTTCTTTGGACTGTAGTGTTCTTAATATAAATAAGGGATTTTTAGCTCTCTGAAGTCCCTTTGAGCCCTGAAATCCATTAATTTTTCTCCAAAGATTGATTGAAGGACAGGCATGGTGGCTACATGTCTAGGCTGATCCAGATAGGTTCGGTGGTAACTGAAGGAATCCTGGAACTCTGAGGCTCAGGATCTGAGTCCTGATTTTGGAGAGAAATTGTGAGGAGGATATCTCATCCATGCCTGAGAGTTGTGGGCATGTGTCTTGCCAGTGGGTTTCAGCCCTGGACAAGTTCACTATGGATTCAATGAGACTAAGGAATGACAGTGGAACATTCTTAGGGTGAAAGGGTTTATACCCAACTTTATTCCCACTGTGGCAGCTCAGTCACTAGAATCCCGTCCACTCAAAGCTGGCCTGCATTCAGCAAGCCGGTCTCTGCCTCTGGGCCTCTCTGCCTGCACAGCCATCTCAGTCTCTGTCCTTGGCACTGCCACCTCTCTAGTCTCTGCTCTCCTGCAGCCTTGCAGCTATGCCACTGTGTTGCCCAGAGCACTGGGTGGAGCTCTTTATATAGGGTCCGTAACAATGTTATTGCCCACATGTGTGTAGTGAGCAAGCAGACCAGGGCCAGGTGAGAACCCTGGCCATAGGAACCTTCACTTTCTCCACAGCATGGTTGGAGTTGTTGAACTTCCTACTGTAGTGATGGTTGTTGGAGGACATTTCCATCCTTTCCTGATTCTGAGGGAGCTAGGTGTCATTGGAGGCTGTGTACATATACTCCCAGGTAGGCCCTAGCTAGGGTCTTGATTCTCTTATCTCATACCAGGAAAGTACGTGTCTTTCCATGAATGAGCTGGTATGTCCTTACCCCTTGTGACTTCATTCAGGTTTCAGCTCTAGGAATGGTAAAGACTCCCTGCTCTTCTGGCCCAAGGGTGCTTTACCATCCTTTGCTGGTTACTCTTAATACTGTTTACACCTTTGAAATAGTCACTTTATTAAAGTCTCTTCCTCATTTGAATGTGAGTTTCCTGAAGAGATTCTCACTAATAGGCTCAGTATAGGCATCATCTCCTAGAACCCTTAACTCTTTTTTTCCTTATACTTACTACTTTCGTATCACTTAGCATCTTACACTACTATTTATAAGTGTGTCCCTTTTACATTGAGCTTATCAGAGGCAGGAATTCTTATTATTTGCAACCACAATAGGTAACACACTGCCTTGTATGTACTAAACTCTAAGTAAATAGTGTCTCTTCTGAGGGTTTTAGCCCCAGGCTGGTTCACTGTGAATTCAGTGAGACTGAGAAGTGAGAACAGAACATTCTTGCAGTAAAAGGGTCTATAACTGGCTTTATTCTCACTGGTGGTAGATCAAGCACAAGGATTACATCTGCATCCAGCAGTCTGCAGGTCTGTAATCCACCTCCATCTCTGCCTCTGCCCAGAGCACTGGGTAGAGAGCTCTATATATAGTGACTCAGTCAATAATAGTTCATTGCCAATGGGTGTGGGACCATTTGCCTAGCAGTAGGTGAATTATATGATCAGGTAGTTTAGGGTCAGGTGAGGATCCTGGCTATAGGAACTTCCATTTTCCCCACAGATAGTTATTGGGAAACTCAGATAAGGGAAAAATTTTCCTTTTCAGAGAATCTCAAGTTACAAAATAGCTAAACCTATTTTGTTTAAGGCAAGATACTAGAGGAGCAGGAGGTCAGGAGCCTGACCTGCTCAGCCTCTGCCTTATTTTCTGGCAGCACTCTTTTGAGGAGCTCCTGCATTAGGCATCTTAGTGAACCCAGGTTGAAGACTACTGGTCTAGATGAGCTCATAAGGTTCCTTTCAGTTTAGTGAATCCCTTTTTGTATTATCAAAAATCTTGAGTGAAAAAATTCCATTTGTTATCAGGAAATATGATCTAGCCAAATATGCTATTTTAATAAATGGCCCAAGGAATGCTTAATGAATAAGAAAGGAGTTAATATATTGATATGCAGAGAAACTGATCATTGTTAATTCTAATGCCTATCTTAAATTCATTGATGTATCTGGTTTGATGAGATGCTTTTAGAGTAGTGGGTCTCAAAATACAGTCTTCAGGCCAGCTTAGCATCACTAGGAAACTTGTTAGAAATGTGAATTTTTGGTCCTGCCCAGACCAAAATCAGAAACTTTTTGGGATAGGGCCCAGCAGTCTGTTCTAACAACCATTCCTGATCCTTCTGATCTACACTAAAGGTTCACAGTGGCTGTTTTAAAGAAATAGCTGTTGGTGGTGTGTTTATGAAGGACCACTTTGAGTAACATCTTTTGTGGAAATACCGTTTCCCATTTTAGAGATCTCCACAGTGATTAAGAGTTATCATTATCCTGGGTGTTAGTGGCCCATGAATCTGGTATTTCATGTGATTAGCTGGCCTGAGCAGCTTCCTGGGAACCAGTATACATTAGAGAATGAAGAGATTAATAACTCTTTAGATGTTCTTATAATCATTTCCTTCATCCTTCCTATTTTTAGTGCAAGATGGGGTGGCAAACATAAAGTTCCTCTTTGTGGGCAGGTATGAGCTCTATTGGAACTTTCGATGATATCATTGTAGCCAGTAGAAAGAAGTTTGGACCCAAGAGCCTATATGGGTCTAGTCTTGATTTTGTCTCTAATGAAAAGAATGGCCTTGGGCAAATGGTAGAACTTCTTGATAAGCCTTGGGAGATTATACTGTCTCTGTGGTTAGTTTTTTGGTGGTAGCTTGGCTTGCTAGTGTCAAGATGATTTTCTATCCCATTAGTAAGGTACCAAGGAAGAAATGAGGTATGGGTATATGTTCTTTACCTTTTTTCAAGAAATCCTTCAGGGATAGTTTTGATTGAGGAACATATATGGGCTTTGAAACCCGTATTCATTTATGTCACTGAGAATGGTAAATGCAGAGCAATTTATTTTTGTGTTGAAGGCTTTGGAGTTAGCCAGACTTTGGGTTCAGATCTTGGTTTCATCATTTAAACTTGACCTTAACTGTTTTGGACTTTAGTGGCCTCATGTATAAGTTGAAATTAGCATAAAGTTTGGAAGAGATAATGTATTTATAGATTTTTAGCATGGATCCTAGTAGGCGTTAGGCCTTAGTAAATGGTAGCGTTATTAGATTTTACTATCAAAAGCAGTCCAGTGTAACACTGTATGACATTTATATGAAACTAGTTTGGTGTCCCAGTTTTCATCATAATATGGATCAAGAAGAAGAATCAAAACAATTTTTTTGTATTTTGACTTTTATTTAGAAAATATAATCAAACCCATAGCATTAAGAAATCATCCTCCCATTTGGTTTTTCATGGAGCATGTTAAAATTCCAGCTTGTGATATGATCTCTACTTCAGGGGATGATGAGCAGAGTGATTGGTTCTATGAAGGAGAATGTGTCCCAGGATTCACTGTCCCTAATCTTCTGCCCAAGTGGACTCCTGATCCTTGCTCTGAAGTAGAAAGAATGGATTCTGGACTGGATAAACTTTCAGATCCCACATTCCTTTTACCTTCTCGGCCAGCTCAAAGAGGTGAGTTCTGAAGAGACCAAAATATACTTGACACTTTCATGGTTCTCTTTGGGGAGAATCATCCCTTGGCAAGCAAACTCATGACTCTACACATGCATTAACTATCTGAATGGTGTAGCTAGTCTAGGGATTTTTTTTTTTCTAGAGGAGTCAAAGGTGAGTCTCAAAGCTTAAGCTTCTCCATTTCTACCTCAGTCAATCTGAGGAGACTCTTGGGATAACTGTTAGCAGGGTGTTCCTGCATGCTTGCTAGTGTCAAGATGATTTTCTATCCCATTAGTAAGGTACCAAGGAAGAAATGAGGTATGGGTATATGTTCTTTACCTTTTTTCAAGAAATCCTTCAGGGATAGTTTTGATTGAGGAACATATATGGGCTTTGAAACCCATATTCATTTATGTCACTGAGAATGGTAAATGCAGAGCAATTTATTTTTGTGTTGAAGGCTTTGGAGTTAGCCAGACTTTGGGTTCAGATCTTGGTTTCATCATTTAAACTTGACCTTAACTGTTTTGGACTTTAGTGGCCTCATGTATAAGTTGAAATTAGCATAAAGTTTGGAAGAGATAATGTATTTATAGATTTTTAGCATGGATCCTAGTAGGCGTTAGGCCTTAGTAAATGGTAGCGTTATTAGATTTTACTATCAAAAGCAGTCCAGTGTAACACTGTATGACATTTATATGAAACTAGTTTGGTGTCCCAGTTTTCATCATAATATGGATCAAGAAGAAGAATCAAAACAATTTTTTTGTATTTTGACTTTTATTTAGAAAATATAATCAAACCCATAGCATTAAGAAATCATCCTCCCATTTGGTTTTTCATGGAGCATGTTAAAATTCCAGCTTGTGATATGATCTCTACTTCAGGGGATGATGAGCAGAGTGATTGGTTCTATGAAGGAGAATGTGTCCCAGGATTCACTGTCCCTAATCTTCTGCCCAAGTGGACTCCTGATCCTTGCTCTGAAGTAGAAAGAATGGATTCTGGACTGGATAAACTTTCAGATCCCACATTCCTTTTACCTTCTCGGCCAGCTCAAAGAGGTGAGTTCTGAAGAGACCAAAATATACTTGACACTTTCATGGTTCTCTTTGGGGAGAATCATCCCTTGGCAAGCAAACTCATGACTCTACACATGCATTAACTATCTGAATGGTGTAGCTAGTCTAGGGATTTTTTTTTTTCTAGAGGAGTCAAAGGTGAGTCTCAAAGCTTAAGCTTCTCCATTTCTACCTCAGTCAATCTGAGGAGACTCTTGGGATAACTGTTAGCAGGGTGTTCCTGCATCTTGCTGTTGCATTTGTGCCAGTTTCAGGAAGCCTAGCACCATGTCACTGCTGCTTATCCTACTATGAAACTCATGGGCTATTGAGTGCTCAAAGGAAGCCTGAAGTACTGGATCTTGGAAGAGAACAGATTTCAGTAGGAACATTCACATACCAGGTGTAATGGCACTTTTTAAATAGATGATTTAAAAATATTTCTTTAGATAATTTTATTTTAATAATTCTATCATTGTATGCTTAAATACACATCCTTTCCCTTTACTTTTCTTCAGTTATGATGGGTGGAGTGCAAAGAGCCTAGGGCAGGAGGAAGGAAATGTGATGATACTTGATGGTACTGTCTGCCTAGCTGGCTCTGTGATAGTTACAGAGTCACTTTGTTTCTTGGGACATCAGGGTCATCAGTACAATATTGTGACACTGAACAAACCTGTTCCAGAGGTTTCTTTTGGCTCTGTAAATTTATGATTCTTGGATTCCCAGTAGTCAGTAATCAACCAGTTAGTCAGTTATCAAGTATTTGTTAAGCATCTATTGGTGATCAACTTCTATAGCACTTTGTTATGATGAATTTGGGTGATAGGTCTTCTCAAAGCGGTTTGTTCTTGGTAAAGGTTATTGCCTGGCTGAGGCACATTGTTTGCCTCCTTAATAACTCTCATCAAATATTTAGATGACCATTTCTGAAAGTTCTTTATGGGCCAATTAACATAGGCGCAAATCAGCAAGAATAGGAAGAAGAACAAACTTAAACTGGCCTGTAATCCCACACCAGTGGCACTCTCATTGTTAACCTTTTGGTGTGGGTTCATCCAGTGGCCTTTTTATGTGTAGAGCGCATACAGCAATTAGAAAAATGGGATTATGCTCTACATAATATTTTTACCATTATTTCATGAATTAGAATGCTTTTGAGATAATAATTAGCATTAAATTTATAATTAGAAATTGTTGATAATGTCATAAATTTGTGTAGTGTTTTCAGTTAATGAAGTACCTTCCATGTGCTATTTTATTGAGTCTTTCAAGAGCCCCGTAAGACTGGACTGGGCAAGTAACTATCCCTCTTTGTAGGTGAGTAGCCTATGTCAGAGGTAATTGGCATGCCTAAAATCATACTGCTGGTGGCAAAGACATGGGAATAATAAATTCCTGGCAAATAGCCTGGTGACTAGTTTAAGGTCTAGTCTAGTAAGATCCTGGGGAGGAAGGCCTTTGGTGTACTAGAAGTACATCATTGCTAATGAATCTTCTGCATTCAGTTACTGAAGCCTTTCTTCTTTTTAGGGTACCATGCTCGCTTGAATCGCTTGCCTGGAGCTGCATCTCGATGCCTCAGAAAGGGGCGAAGAAGGCTTCTTGGGAAGGTGGTAGTTTTCACTGTTTACAAGGCTCAGGGGGAGGATAGTACTCTGTATGGGATATGTGTATCCTACTGATAATCAAAGGTGCTACATAACTCCCTGGAGTTAATTAGCCAACTGTAGTATTTTGTGAGTTCACAAGAGTGAACATTATGTAGGATATAAATTGATACACACATAAAAGATGAAGCTTAATTCATACAGAAGTTCTGACAAAGCAAACACTGTTATGACAGTATCTATTGTCTATAAATGTACAGACCTGATCTCTGTTTCTTTGACTCTTGATTAATCTTATATTATTAGTATATGAATTAATATTCTCTTGGCTTCTTTAGGACTCTCTCTGAAATTCATGAATGCTTCTTCTATCCTAACTTTGGTCTTTTATTCTAGAATTCATTACAAAGAAAAAACTGGAAGAGAAACCTATTACCAAATTTCAAAAGCCCTCCTTGGTCATGATGGAGGAATATTTACCATTTACTCAGTTCTGCTTTTGCCAGGGACTCCAGGCACTGAGTCCATTTAATCCTCCCAAGAACCTTGTAAAAAAGGTTATATTCCCCTTTAGCAGAAGAGGAAAACTTGGATTCAAAGAAATTAAGTAATGTCTGATGTTACCCATGGAGAAATGGCACAGTGAAGAATTAAACCCAACTCTTAACTTCTCTTTTATCATTTTTAATTTAAATTAAAAAAATTATTTTTTAGTCCATCTCTGAGATCAAAAGTAGGTTAAGACTGGGGCTCCTACCCATCAGAGAAGATAGGGGTGAGTAAAGAATAAGTAAGGGAGAGGTATGTTAGAGTATTCATTTGTTCCCTCCATAAGCATTTAGAATGCCTACTATATGGTAGGCTCTGTGCCAAGTCAGGGGTATATAGTGGTCAGAGCCACAGTCTCATTGCCCTGAGGAAGCTGTTATTTTATAGTTTAATCAGGGCACAGTTTTTTGAAGTTCTAACCATGCCAAAGAAGTGAGGCTGTTTATTTCCAGATGAACTCAGATTTTTTATCTTTAAACTCAGTTTCAAATCCCTAAGGAGAAAGACATTTGATTATTGGAAGAGTCATGACTTTTTCTTTTGGAGCACTGCTTCTGCTGTTCCCAGAGCTTATTCTTAACAGGATAGGTAGCAGGGGTACAGGGGTTGGAGAGTGGCACAGGAGGTTGCGAGTGGGAACAGAAAGCTGGTTTTACTCTTTACTGGTTAGGCTTGGCAGATAATGTTCTCTCTCTTACCTATCTTAGTTTGTTTCAGCTACTATAAAATGAGAGCCTCCTTCTTCTATAGAATTACATCAGGTCATCTCGAAGGCTCCCTTTAGCTGCGTGGAAGGAAACGAGGGCCTATTGGTCCTGTCTCTAAGGATTTCAAATAATAGGTTAATATTTACTTGTTTAATTCATCTTCATCACCTTAAAGGGATATTCGTCATTTCTAGAAGAGGTCACTGTTCTGCCCCCCTTCCTCCCTCCCATATCTCTCTTCTCTTTCTAAATTGTGATCATAAATAATGAGTTTCATTCACAGCTCCCTGCCAGTGAGCTGCTAATTACGCAAAGTACTGCTTGTAATTTACACAGTAATAAACTGTAAATTCAAACATTACGGCACTTTAGGTTAATAATTTTTCTACTGTAACAAATAGCTCATTTTTCACCCTTTTCCCTTGGCCCCACTACCGAGGTTCTGTCTGTGACCACTAGGCGTAGGCATAAGGTGAAGAATATGAATAATATAGTATGCAAACCTTTTCATTAAGCTTCACTCCCACCTAGAATTTGACTCAAATTAATTTTTCTATAGCCCTGCTAAAATGTATATTCTAATATTTAGGCTAATCCACACACAAAAAATACAGATAATAACAGTTGCCAAGAAACAAATGTATTTGAGTAGCAGGCTTGACATTCTTCATAGCTATGCCCATGGCTTATATTCTCTTTATCTTTTTTTTTTTTTTTAGATAATTATTTTTTATTGAAGGGTAGTTGACATACAGTATTACATTAGTTTCAGGTGTACAACACAGTGATTGAACATTTATATACATGATAATTCTAGGTACCCGCTATCACCATACCAAGTTGTCACAATATTTTGGCTATATTCCTTATGCTATACATTACATCCTGGTTACTTACTTATTTTACAATTGGAAGTGTGTACTTTATTTTATTTATTTATTCATTCATTCATTCATTCATTCATTTATTTATTTATTTATTTATTTATTTATTTGTGAGGGCATCTCTCCTATTTTTTTTGATCAAATGGTTGTTAACAACAATAAAATTCTGTATAGGGGACTCAATATTCTCTTTATCTTAACACTTAGTCATATATGTGTGTGCCTCTTATTCATGTACCACTGGTATTTCTCCCCAGATAATGTGATAGGCATTCTTTGTAAATGTACTTAGGTTAAATGAAGGGTGAGTGCCTTCTGCCATTTCCCAATTTTTGGGAGATGATTTAGTTTCTGAATTGCTTGTGGTATTACAGGTAAGATTTCATATATTGAATGGCCTTGAGAATCTCAAATTTAAGAACCAGTTTATACAAACTGGTTATTACTCTAAAGAGATGACGTTTAACAGACAAAACCCAGGGTAACAATTTTTGTTGAGGTACAGAAATCCTTTACGTGTGTACATTTGGTCAGCAGGCACTGGAGTGTTTCCAGTGAAGACTTGGTAAATGTCCCATTGTGAAGGCTGTTGAGGCTATAATCATGTGACTTTAGGGAACTTGGTGTGCTGGCCTGTTAAAAATTGGCTGCTATGGATTTTTTTCAAAAGTGCTTCTATTTCTATATACTTTAATAACAGGAGGTAATACTCACTGTATTACGATTCTATATATAGTGAACAATGTTTATAATGACTTTTTTGGAACACTAAAGAAAAATAAGTCTAGAAATAACCTGTAATACCTTTAAGATAGATTTCCATAAAAAGGAATACAGTTGCTGTTGGATTTTAAGATTGACATTTGACATGTGCCTTTGAGGTTGCTGGCACAGTTATGGGAAAGTGTGAGCTTGAAGGCAGATCATGCTTTATATATTTATTTCTGTGGTTAGAGGACACTCTTGTCTTGCTTGTCTTTTCAGGATACCAGCCTAAGTACTTTGGGTACTGAGAGGATAGGCCACGTCATTAGTGACCCTCGGCAGAAAGAGTAAGTGCTTATATATTTATGGGCTTTCCTAGCCTGTTTCTTAGAGTAGCAGGCAGAGGGAAATTTTATGAAGGATCTAGAAATCTGACTTGAGTACTGAAAGAGATCTTACAAATTTGTAAGTTAATGAGTTAATACGGCTAGAACCCTCAGCTTATGAGAATTGATTTTTTTTCCTTTCTAGACAACTTTTTATTTCTATAGGTGTAGCATTATAAAAGCAGCTTACGATAAGATGTTATAGTTTATTTTTAATTGAGGTAAAATTGGTATATAACATTATATAAATTTTAGGTGTGCAGATTATAATTCAGTATTTGTATACATTATAAAGCGATCGCCGTAAGTCTAGTTAGCATTCGTCACCACACAGTTGAGCCCCTTCATCCATTTCACCCATTCCCCAGACCCCTTCCTCTCTGATAACTACCAGTCTGTTTTCTCTATGAGTTTTTTTTTCAGATTCCACATGTAAGTGAAATCATGTGGTATTTGTGTTTCTCTAACTCATTTCACTTAGCATAATGCCCTCAGGAGCCATCCATGTTGTTATAAATGGCAAGATTGCTTTATTTTTTATGACTGAGAAGCACTCCGTTATGTATCTATTCCACATCTTTATCCATTTATCCAACACTTCAGTTGTTTATGTATCTTGGCTATTGTAAGTAATGCTACAGTGAACATAGGGGTGCATATGTCTTTCAAATTAGGGTTTTCTTATTCTTCAGATAAATATCCAGAAATGGAATAGCTAGATCATATGATAGCTCTATTTTTAATATTTTAAGAAATCTCCATACTGTTTTCCATAGTGGCTGCTCCAATTTACATTCCTGCCAACAGTGTGTGAGGGTTCTGTTTTCTTCACATCCTCTTCAACACTTATTATTTCTTTTCTTTCTGATAATAGGCATTCTCACAGAAGTGAGGTACTATTTTATTGTGGTTTTGATTTGTATTTCCCTGATAATTAGTGATGTTGCACATCTTTTCACATGCCTGTTGCCCATTTGTATGTCTTTGGAAAAATGTCTATTTAGATCCTCTTTCCATTTTTTAATCAGGTTATTTCTATTTTTGTTGTTGAGTTGTATGAGTTCTTTATATATTTTGGATATTAACTCTTTATTGCATGTATGATTGCAAATATCTTCTCCCATTCAGGAGATTGCTTTTTCATTTTGTTGATGGTTTCCTTTGCTGGGCAGAAGCTTTTTAAAAAAAGTTTGATGTACTCCCAGTTGTTTATTTTTGCTTTTGTTACTGTTGAGTCAGACCCCCCAAAAAATTGCTAACACCAGTACCACAGAGCTTACCACAAATGTTGTCCTCTAGAAATTTTATGATTTCAGGTCTTAACATTTAGGTCTTTACTCCATTTTGAATTAATGTTTGTGTATGGTGTAGGATAGAGGTCTAGTCTCATTTCTTTGCCTGTGGCTGTCCAGTTTTCCTGACACCATTTATTGAAGAGACTGTCTTTTCTCCATTATATTCCCCAGTATATTTTTGGCCATTTTCTAAGCCAAGAATATACTGGGGAATATAATGGAGAAAAGACATGACCATATTATGTGTAGGTTTATTTCTGGCTCTCTGTTCTTTTTCATTGATCTGTGTGTCTGTTTTTATGCCCGTGTCATACTGTTTTGATTACTGTAGGCTTGTAGTACAGTTTGAGATAAGGGATTGTGATATGGCCAGCTTTGTTTTTCTTTTCTCAAAATTGCTTTGCCTATTAGGGTCTTTTGTGGTTCCACAAAAATTTTAGAATTATTTGTTCTAGTTCTGTTAAAAATGACATTGGAATTTTGATAGGGATTGTATTCAATCTGTAGGTTGCTTTGGGCGTTATAGATATTTTAACAATGTTACTTCTACCAATCCATAAGCATGGATATATTTCCATTTATTGTATCATTTTCAGTTTCTTTCATAAATGTTTTGTAGTTTTCAGTATATAGGTCTTTTACCTCTTTGGTTAAACTTATTCCTAGGTATCTCATTCTTATTGATTCAATTGTAAGTGGAATTATTTTCTTAATTTCTTTTTCTAATAGTTCATTATTAGTGTATAGAAATGCAACAGATTTCTGTATATTGATTTTCATCCTGAAACTTTATTGAATTCATTTTTTCTCATAGTTTTTTGGTGGAGTCTTTAGGGTTTTCTGTGTATGATATGTCATCTGCAAACAGTGACACTTTTATGTTTTCCTTTGTAGGATGTTATATTTTAAACTCATTTTTCTGTCTCTTAGAAGTTTGTATGTTCAGAATGGTGATTGCTTCTATATTCTCCTTCATGCTTTTCCCATTTTTAGATCTTTATATAGAAAAGTATCTTTTTGTCCTAAGTATTGTGATAAGAGCACCTGGAAAGCCTGTGTGTAGATATAGGAAAATCATTCCACCCTTTTGTATGACAGCTAACATGATTTGTTCTTTGATTTATCCTGAATATGACATGGTCAGTATCCAGTTGTGATCATATACCCATCCAGCCTGGTTGAATTTTTAATTTACAAAATAATAAAGATGTGTGGGTGATTTGTGCCCTTGTTTAATTGGGGATCCTGTTGTGACTGTGTAGCTGAATGCCTTGGTATCACACTGTAATCTTGGCTTTGTTTTTAGAGTTTCCAGCCTTTTACATTCCATTGCAAGGCTTTTTCCTTTGAAGAGTTATTTTTCGCACAAAGGTTCATACACATTTAATATCTCTCCTTTTCTTCTCCAGTTCCATGTTTTTCTCATTTCTTTCTTTGTCTTTACTTCAGTATCCCAACATTTTTTTCTCCTCCTCCCTAAAAGTTTTCTATGACTTTTTATTATTTTCTTCCCTGTTATTCTCTCCCTCTCTTTAGTTTCTGGTTACCGTCAGCTGGGAAAAGAGAACGAAATCAGGTAAGATCGCTTTTCTTTATCATTTTTATTTTATTGTTTGATTTCCTTTTCTTTAGAAAGAATAAAGCGTTGGCTTCTGATTTTCCTCACATTTCTGCTTGTGCACATGAGGTAAGGTTCCCACTCCCTGTGTCACTCTGATTTTCTTGGAGTACTGTTTTCTCAGAATATCTGATACGCACTGATAAGAACTGTAGCTAATTCCCCTTTTTTGGTTCAACTGTGATCTTCAGTTAATTACTTGTAACATTTCATAGGAATCCTGTCTTTGTTTTAGTTTTGAACTGTTCATAAGAAATGAGAAAGAATCTCATCTGCTGTGGTTGAGTTCAATCCCAGTACCCTTTGCTGAGAAGTGCAGTGTTGCTTAAACATATGAAACAGAAGAGGGTAGAGCTCGCTGCTTTGGGTGACATGGGGGTGAGGCCTTAGAGCCTTGCCTTCTTAGTCTTTTCCCTGCCTACCCACTGAGAGGGCCCTGAGCGTGTCTAGGCCTTCTTAGGGGTCATAATTCAAAAGTTACCAACAGTGGCTATCAATATGTTCCTTTAATGTGTAAAGCTTTTCATTTTGGGGAGAGATTGCTTTATTTTGGTGGCAAGTTGTAAAATAGATGAAGACTGATGAGTAAAAATTGTCAGTCTTCCTATTGTTCTGTTTAGTTTCTAAAAGTACTTGGTACCATGTGAAGCTGACGTTCATTTTAGACTTGAACCTTCATCTTGGAGTTACTGTTTCAAAATGAGCTAGAGCAGTGGTAGACCTAATTGGTGTGTAGTTGTGAGATGATTTTAGATGGTATGTGGACATACAATTCTTATTTTAAGTTATAATGATTTATGTTAGAAAAAAATGGAATCATTTTATCAAACTTGTTATTTCATAGAAAAATAGTAAGAACAAGTCTAAATAAAAATAACTGATAGGAAGGAAATAGTAGGTAAATGATAGTGCAGATGGTGGACAGATAAAGAAAAAATCATTAGGGTACTATGTAAGTGACTGAAGTCTGAGGAACTCCCAGCTGGAGTACTATTTGCATCAGAGAATCTCAAGGCAAAAGAGGACCTGTGCAATCACCTAGTCCAGATTTATTACTTACAAATAAGATTTACACTATTTGCCCAAGGTCATACAGCTAGTAGAATTGGGACTGGAATTTCTGTGATAGACAGAACAGTTGTTTAGTTTGTATTCTTTTAAAATTCTTTCAGAATTACCATTCAGAGTTCTTGCAGTCTTAAGATATATTTAGTTCTGAAATTTGTGGGAAGGATTATTTATTGTGGAAAAAGTCCAAAGAAAGCTGGCAGACAGAAGTGAGGTACTTTTATACAGAGAGTTCCTTTTGATCCTCATAACCATCTTTTGAGGTGAATAGATGTTTTATAGATGAGAAGCTGAAATTACTTTATAAACTGGAAGCAATATTTCATTTTGAATAATCTGTGAAATAGGCAGGACAGAGAGCAGTACATCCATTTTGCAGATGAGGAGAGTAAAGCTCAAGGAAATTATGTAATTTGGAATATATGGCAACAGTGGTAGACTGAAATTAAATGTTAGGTGCTCTAATTCTTAATGTAGCTCTTTTTCCACCACACTCCTACTGGTATGTGCTAACCAGTTATTCATTTGCCAGGATAATGAAGTAACAAGGTAATTCCATGATAGTTTTCTTGGGAACAAGTGCTGACATCTAATAGGTGTGAAGTTCGTATTATGTCAATTAGAAAGTACCATCTTTTGCCATTTAAGTAATTATCGTATATCAGAAGTTTTTGAAGAATTCTTATTTACCAAGGAATGATCTTTTTTTGAGGTGTTCTAGCTCAGGTATGCTGCATTCATAATAGGTACAGTATTGAATATGCACAAATTTATTGAGTGATGTCTGTGGTATGGCAAAAGAGTTGGACAGTCAAAGGGGAAAGGTAATCAAATAGCCAGTAACCCATTAGGATCAGGTCTGTTTCACATATGTCATAATAAAATAATCTCATTTATTCCTGCAGTTTAATCCCCTTTCTCCCCTTTACTCCCTGGATGTTCTTGCTGATGCTTCTCATCGAAGATGTTCACCAGCACACTGCTCTGCCAGGTAATTGTCTTTCAGTGGCTTTTTCCTTCTGGACAATACCATTTTCCTTTTCATAACACTTTTTAAATTATAAAGTATGTTTGCATAGTATCTGATCTTCACAATGACCTTTAGAGGTCAGTTGGTATTTTACAGATGCAGAAACTGAGGCAGAGTCGTGAAGTAGCTTTCCTGTGGACACATGGCTAGTATGTGATTTAAGTCTCAACTTTGACCTAGGTCTTCTGGCTCATATTTCATATTCTGCCTAAAGCTCTGTCTTCAAAGAACATTATTAATGGTCTTTACCATGACCTGCAACATCCTGCATAATCTGACTTCTGCCTACATGTCCAGTCTCCTTTCATGTACCTCCTCCTCGCTGGGGGAGGGTCCAGCTGCGCCAGACAGCTCAACTACAATTTGTTCTTTGAAAATAACACCCCTTTCCTGCCTCTGGACTTTCACATTTGTTCCCTTTGTCTAGATTGCAGTCTTAGAGCTCATCTCATGAGTGACTGCTTCGCCTCTCAACTTGGGTCACCTCTTCTGGGAGGGCCTCTCAGACTACCCTATCTAAAGGGGCCACTGTCACTACTCTCTGCTCATTATTTCCTTCCTTTAGAGCTTTTATCATAGTCTGTAATGAAGTAGCTTATTGGGCCCCCACCTCCCCCTACGTTTTCCCCCTGTCTCTCTCACTAGAAAGTAAGCCACAAAGTGCAGGGACCTTGTCTTGTTCCCTGGTAATCCCCGGCACCAAACAGTGTCCAGCACTTGGCAGACCTTCAGCATGTATCTGTCAGAATGAACCCTGTGCCTGTATAGCAGAATGAGTGCTATGCCTCTCCACATAATTTCTCTTAAGTTAGGTGACATGGGAAGTAAATACAATTTTAATAGTAGCATCCTCCAGTTGGGTTTTGCACAAAAGGACAACTAATAGGCTAAATCATAGAACTTTTATTATTTCTAGTGACACGAATTTCTTTTGAAGGTTCTGATGATTTTTTTTTTCTGCCTGATACATTATTATGTGGATATGTTCATAGATGTGGGGTGCAAGTGGCACAAAGAAGTCATCCTTCCATGGATACAGTTAGAACTTCTGCTGTGGGCTGTAATAATAAACTGTGCCCCATAGCCTGCTGCCAGACCTTCTGTTGGAGCAGTATTTCAATGGGAAAGTCTTTTGAAAAGAGACCATCACAAATGGTGTTACTAAGGAAATTGTGGGATGATAAGTAAACTATTTCTATAAAGCCTGTTTGTCAGTAGCATTCTGTTTACTCATCACGGATTCATTCAGCATTTGCTGACTCCCTACTATGTGCCAGACTCTTTGTTTCGGTACTACATTCAAGGAGCTTGTATTTTCTTGAGAAAGTCAGGTGTGGAAATGCACAATTTCAATATGGAATGACAAATGCATAGAGGTGTGTACCAGAATGATATGAAGCACAGAGGAGGGTTTTCTAAATTCAGAGGCTCAAGGGAGTTTTCTTAGAGATGGTGGTGCTTAGGCTGTCTTGAAAGACACAAGACTTCATTCATAGGAAAGCATTTTCCAGCTTTTTGTGTAAATACCAAATAAAATAATGACTGTGTTGTGGAGACTGTAGGAGTAGCACCATGTCATGTCATATGCTGCAAGTGGAATATTTGCACTCCTCCCTTTACATCTGCCATCTAGAGCCGTGCTGTGCTGAGTTCGGTATCCATGTTTTTACCAGGTTTCCTGTTGTCTTTAAAGCCTCATCCTAGGTGGAGTAGGTGTCAGCTTCTTGTTCCTTTGTGTATCTCATTATCCCCATCATTATCTTCATTCTCTTGCTGGCACTGCTTGTGGCTGGACTTGGAAACATAAGGAAGTCTAGGCTGTGCATTTGGTGCACTCAACTCCAGGGAAATACTGCTTATTGCTTTAATGAGAGAATGTGGACAATTATACCTTAGACATCATTCTCAGCACAGTGGATACCAAGTGGACTGCATGCATGAAGTTTCTTTGGGGTAAGGGAAGACAATTTTTAAGCTTACATTTATTTATTATTTTACCTTAAAACAGATTTATTTCAAACAGTACATTAGTCTGGTAATACATGTTTTTATTTTATGTTGTATGTGTTACATACCTAGGGAGTGCTTGCTCAAGATATACTCATGAGGGTGCACAGTCAATAAAGTTTGGCAACCATGACTCTATGGGAAATGGTCAGCACACGTGACCTCCGTGCAGTTTTTAGGAAATGTGTCTGATGAAACACGGAGTCTTTAGGGCTCCCTGTCTGTCCTTTGACATAACAGGGTTCCTGCCTGTCAGGGGCCAGTGCTGGAGGAGCTGTCAAGCTCCAGTGTGGCCAGGTGATAAGATCCGATTCAGAACTGGCTGGTGGGCTTTGCAAAAAGTGGGCCATTTAACACAGCCTGGCACCTGGAAAGGAATGTTAGTGTGGTGGTGGTAGGGAAGAGGCAGGTGAATGACTGTATTAAAACTGTTTCGAATGGAAATTTTATCTTTTTCTTGTTCTGTTTTATTTGTAGTGGGAAAAGATTTCTTTCAAAGCATCTGGGCAGCCTTGGGAATTTCACATCCATCATTAGAATGATTTGTGTGTGTGTGTGGTGACTATGTTATCATTAGTGGTATAATTTTATTTTGCGAAGAGAGAAGTGTTTCCTGTTTTATCACAGTTTTCCCTGAGGAGGGCTGGTGTATTAATTTGCTGTATTGCCTCCTGGCTGTTCCCAGGCTGTTTTTCCTCTTCATCATGGAATTTTTAATGGCCCTTGTGCCTCTTGGGAAGCATGTGAGGAAGAGTTCCTTGGGGAGTGCTTCCCTTTTTTTGCATGCCTATAATTACTCTCCTTTAAGAGCACAAAGAGTTTGATAATCATGCCTGAACTGTGAAGGTTTCCTCTTGTCAGGTTTCTGAGTTGAGGCTGCTTCCTGCCTGGACACTGCCAGTTCCACTCCCGCAAACACTCAACTGCAGGAGAGAGTGGACTCCACCACTTCCCCACTTCCTCACGTACACTGTGCTCCATCCCAGGGTGAGGCCTAGGGGCCCCTGGGGCTGATGAGTGACCTCAAGGTACTCTCTTGTTCAGTATTTCATTGCTGTAAACAGGAAAAAGTGGGTTCATGATTTTAAGAGAACACTTAATTGATATATCATTTTAATATAGCCCAGATGGCAGCTGCAGTGGATGAGAGACAGGGAGTTTTGTGGTCTTTGTTCTACTAATAGATTTGTGGGTTAAGAGGTTTACAGAAATACCACTCTAGAAATACTTAAGTTTGGTGGTTTTCAACCCTGGCTGCACTTTTGAATCACTTGAGAATATATTATACATTTGTACTTATATATTTAAAAATATATCCATGCTGAGCCCCACCTCCCAAAATTCTGATTTAATTGGCCTTGGATGAGGCCTAGGGATTGGCAATATTGTAAAGCTCCCAGGTGACTCTAATATGCACCCAGGGCTATGAACTGTTGCCTTAAATGTATATGGTTTTATGACTGATGCTTTGTAATTTGCCCGTTTCATAATTGGCATGAGCTCTGTGCTTTGGTATTGTGTGCACGATTCTTTGGGGAGGTGGGACACTGGACTTCTCTCAGCTTTGGAGAACTGCTGCAGGTGAAGAAGAGTGTTAGGGTCTAGCCCAGCACATAGTGCTTAGTTAATGGGAGGGTGTGGGGTGGGTGGGGTGTATGGATAGTTGGGTAGTTGGCAGGGCACGTGGATGAAATTCATAAACCAGCTGTTTTGGATTGATTATTTTGGTTGCTAGTATTGGGATGTTGCCACTCAAGTAGTAACACTAGGTATTGGTGTTAAGAATTGCTTCCACTCAAACAGTGGGTGGTGTGATTGGTGTTCGGGTGGAGAATGTAGTATTGCTGTCAAGGACCCAGTCATAGAGTGGTAATAAGGAGCTTGTGCTTTAGGTAGTTTTCCCCCAAATGAGAGATATATTGATTGTGAAGGATAGCTTTTCTTACCATTATTGCCTTAGAAAACTGTAACTAGAACTTAGCAGTTGCTACATGTCTATGAGGCCCAAGTCACCAGAGACAGTTTCTGAGTGTCTCTTCAGCTCTCCTGCCCTTTTCTCTGTTTTGGGTGGTAATTTGGTAATGTATCATCACCACTTCCATTTATTCAGCCTTCAAGTTCTTAATCTCATATTAGCAGATCTTAGTGTGAGGCAGACCTAGGTAAGAATCTTTGCTTTACCTGGGCAAATGACTTACCTCCCATACCTTGGTTTCTTTCTTTAAAATGGAAGTATCAATATTTTTTGGGCTAATGGGACCAAAATGAAAATAATGTATTTGAATATTTAGCATACTGGTAGCTAATAATTATTTTTGTTATATAATTAGTACACTATCCTGTCCTTCAGATAATTGCAGTTATACAAACTTTGAGTTGGCTCCCAAGTCATTTTGCTAATGAGATGTAGTACAGATTCTTGAGGTGCTTAAATGGCCTCAAATGGACTATAAAAGGAGGCGTTTGGACAGTGTTTGAGTGAAACAGAGAAACCTTCCTGCCCGTTAGAGAGTTGAAATATGATAGGCTGTGCTCATTGTAATTCATTTTATCTGTTCACAAACGTTATGATCTGCATATCAGAGTTGTGTGCCCAGCTGGCTGTGCCACTTGACAAGGAGTTTCAAAGAGCAAGAAGCAGACTCAATTCCTGCTATTAATTTTGACCTTTGGAGCCATAGTAAACAGCCCCGGGTTTTACCTCAGGGCTTGGGGGAGAGAACCTTTTGTGAGGCCTGTGTCTGTTGGGGGTGCTGCGGTGCACAGCAGCTCTTGCTTACTTCCTTGGTGCCTTAGTTTTGGCCATGTGGGAGGAATGCTCCTGCTATAATGTTGTCCCTAAGACTACCCAATCCTACTGGAACTCCCCATTGTGTAGTACACAGTTCTTGGATCTTTTGTCCTCCATTGGATGGGCTTGTTTACAGCAGCTTTCAAGCTGGCTGGCATCATGC